CCTTAAAAAACAAAACAAAAAAACAACAACAACCTCCCCGCTTTTTTTAGGGAACATCAAGACTAGAGTAATAGCATTTGCTGAATTAATCCTCAAGATAAAAATGATTTCACAATGAGTCTGATCAGATAATGACCATCCTTCCCCTCTTCCCCACCAGAGTGCGCACTCCACACTGGATTTCGGAGCATTCCAAAGTCTGGGATCTTGTCTGCTTTGAATGCCTGGATGCCAGTGCTCCATAAATGCCGCTGAATTAACTAGTGAGTGAATAAGAATACATTGTCCAGTGGAGCCTTGGTCTGGTTACACTTCATCTGACACAGGCGCTCCACCTGAGAACAATGAAGCCTCTTTTCATAGTTCCCATGGCTATGATTTCATCATGACTGCACCGCAGAGTCCTAGGGAGTAAGTTTGAAGACCAAGATCAAATCTTGAAAAATGAATTCCTATGAGTTTTCACATTTTCCACAAGCCTGAAAGTGTCTGTCAGTGTACACATACCAACTGCTGACACAGAGCAGCGCCTGACTAGATGTTCTGGACCTGTGCTACATCCAGTTACAACGCAAACACATTCCACGCCCCCGCAGGGGTAAGTCTGACGTGAGCAGTGCTGAATCTTACAGAAACGAAGGGAGGTAGCGGAGGGTTGCCTTCTTAACTCCTAACTGAATTTCTTTCCTTCTGTCTTTGACACTTTGCTCCAGGAAGTCAGAGCTCACTGAATGATCAACTCCTAGCAGCACCTGGCTTTCATGAAATCTAAATTGTTTATCCTAAGAAGGTGTTTTATTTAGATGCAATGTGTTTTAAAGCGTCATAGCTTTTCATGCCACCACAGCATTTGAGGTCACAGAAGATGTGAGCTGGCCACCTTGCCTAGCAGGACAAATAGGACGCAGTTACAGTTTTCTGCCGCAGAGTAGCTCACACTCTGATGGGAGAGGCCGTTTCGGTTCAGGTGAGAAGACCTGGATGGAAGCCTGTGGGAGCCACTGAAATAGTCCTTTTAAAAGAATCAGAATCAGTCAAGAAGGCAGGGGGAGTGCCCTGCACCCCTCTTCCTTCCTTAGGGATGGCTGTGGTGTCGGGAGTCCTCAGCGTTGCTAGGGCAGAGAGACTAGTTGCCTATTGCTTCTGGCTTTTAATGTTAAAACACTTGAAGGAGATTTAAGTGGTGCATGTGAAGTTGCTTCAGGTGCCCATGTATTACTTAGAGTTTTGAGGGCAAAGCCTCCTCTTGTCTTTGTATCAATTGCTCTGAGCTTGGCACCGCACAGGCACATACAAGGTGATCTTTACATGTGTTTTCCTTGCTAGCACCCAGGGACCTACGGGAGAGGATTCAGATGCAGTGCTTCTGGCTCTTGCTGGTCACGGCCTCTCTGCCGAGAAATAGGGCTGCTGGCACTACCTCCTCTCTTTACATTCTTATCGCAAAGGGATTGTGAGGGCTTTCTTCATGTGGCACCCTTAAAGCCCACTCTCCCTACAGCCCACGCGCAGCCCCAGGTGCCGAACAATCAGGGCACATTGAGACCAGGTTATCTCTCTCCCTCCCCACAAGGCCCATCAGCAAGAACATAAAGGGAAGCTAGGAGCGCTGACGAAGCCAACCCCAAGCGAACCCAGGAGGGGGCCACTTTTGCTTTTTTAAAAGGTGAGGGCCCTGCGGTAATCTAAACTAGTACTTCTTCCCTCCTCTACCCCTGACCGGAACCTCACGGCAACCCTGGGGCAGTCATTTCTATAGGCGGTTAATTCATGGGCACAAGAAAAGTTTATGTCACTTTTCCACTGGTTCTTCTATCCTGTTACCTTTGTCAGTCCTGGGAATCTGATAGATCAATGACACACTTTGCAAAAACTCCCAACTGTTCACTTCCAGGCTGTGACTTTGACCTCCGACTGCAGAGCTCGCGCTGACCGCTAGATCGCGCTGTCGGACAAGAAATCGGGAGCTCTGGAGCCGCCGGGAACCCAGGAGCCGGAGGGAGAAGAGGTGGGAGTAGTAGCGAGGGAGAGTGAGGCGGGTAGATCCCAGGATATAACCCCAGGAATGAGAGCCAAACTGAATCAATGCAGCCATCTCTGCCTCAGTCGATAAATACCATCTTTTACTCCCCCCCCCCCACTTTAACAGATTACGAGGGGTATTAAGAACTGGACGCACTACTGAAGGACACAGGTTGGAAAGAGAGCCTACACATTTTTGACACATTTGTCCGTTTACCAGACTGGATGTTCAGTTTAAGGGCCCCGAGAGTAGAAACAATGTAGACGTCATGGGGGGGGGCCCTAAGGCGCCCCTTTGGATGCATCTGAGTGTCCCCTGGGGATGGATGTGTTGAGATGAGCTTGTGGCTATGCTTCCGTGCACTCCCCGACCCAGGCGTCCCCTCCCTCCCCCTCCTCTCATCCTACTCTGGAAACTTTGTGTAGGAATCCTTTTTCTGAGGGCCAGAGGGCGTTTGCAGCCAGGGGTTTATATTACCTACATTCCTTTGTAGCAACTATTTGCAAATGCATTGCATCTAAGTACGTGAGCAAGAATGCCTTGATCAAGAGAGGACGGCCCTGCGGGTCCCTAGCACTCTGCTCCGGTTTGGAGAGCGGTGCAAAGTGCGTGCTCCTGGGGACAGAGCCTCTTGCACCCAGTTTCCCTTCTCCAGCCTCATTGACAGGAGGCAACCAGTGCTCTGGGCTCCGCGAAGGTTGACCCACACCAGCACTCCCGGCTGATAGATGCATCTGCAGCTCTCAAACAGCAGGGAACTCTTTTTAAACCAAGGATATCAACACCCACTGTTACATAGCTCCCTAGTCAACATCACTATCACAAATTTAAAAAAAAGTGCGAAAAGGTAGAAAAGGCGCGCGCGCTCGCACATACACATACACACACCCCGACCTGGGCTAAACGCAAATCCCAGCCAGCCTAGGCCGACGGGCAGTTGTCTTTCTCTAGACCCGGGGCGGGGGAGTCGTGTCCCAGGGGCGTCCCGGGTAGTTCCAGGCCGCCGAGCGGGCCAGGACAGCCGCGGGTGCGGTGGAGCCCTACTGGGTGCCAGGAAGGCGCTGCCGGGACTTCTCTACTCAGCTTCGTCCCGGAGGCTGCCGTCCGCTCATAGGCATCTGGGAGAGGGGAGTGAAGTGGCATGTTCGGGTGGGGAGCAGCCGGGGTGCTCTCTGGCCAGGATGGGGACTCATTGGTGTGCGGCGCCGGCCGTGCGCCCTGCAGTGCGCGGGGAGGTGCTCCTGGCCAGGACGCGCTCGCCGGGGGTGTGCGCCGGACAGCCGAGCTGTGAGAGTTGGAAAGGGAAAAAGACTGCGCTGTGCGTGTGTGGGCTCTTTGTGCGAGCTGCCCAGCTGGACTGCGAGTGGGCTGTGTGTACTCGGGGAATGTGCAAAGGTGGCGAGTTCCACTCCCCCCCCCCCCCCCCCCCACC